GTGTTCAAAGCTCACTCTTGATCCCTGTTGTGCACACAAAACCTATGTTGTTTTCCTCAGAGAACTGTAATTAACTTTTCATTCACCAAGTCCTCACATCAGGAGGCATTTACAACAATACGTTTTACAGCACAGGGTGTTCTAACCACTCAAGCTAAAATAGCTATGATTAGCACCTGGTTTTGCCCCCAGCTGTTATCTTGGCATAGTTTATCCAGGGCGCCACATTCCCCTGTCCCACTTACTCCCCAGCTAGTCAAAAGGCGCAAACCAACATCTTCCTCACCTTAACTCATTCAAATGTTTGTCCTTCAACGTCATCACTCTTCTTACTAGCTGCCCAAGTGGACTTTTAAAGTCAGATTGCTCTGACACCCAGATCTCCCACATTCTAATTTCAGCCTGGCACACTCCTCTGCCAGCTCTCTCTGTGACATTTGCGTTTTGACGTCATTCGCATGTACAAGAATAAATTTATCAGTTGGGGGGGGGGGAAGGAATCAGCAATCCGATCACAAGAGCTAACCTGGTAAAAGAAACAGGTGAATCCTCAGGTTACCCACTGTTCAGTATAGGTAACACTTAGGCTGTTGAATTACTTGGGTGCCTCTGCTGATCTATCAGAATTATTATAAGATATCTTCCCCACCCAGCAAGCCGACTCCAGTGAGCCAGTAGCAAAGATGACCAATGACTAGTTCACTCTCCGCTCAGAAATCTTCAGTGCCCTCTTGGTTGGGAACGCAATAGAAGACCAAGGTTCTTGGTACAGCAGTTGAAGCTGAAGCTTTGTGGAGCCCATATTCTGTAAGCAATGGCCTCATGAAGTCAGAGTTGCTTGGAGCAATTAACATACTCTAAGTGGTCAACATTGTAAGCCTCCATTGGATGGGACTGGAGCTGAGACCGACAGTGATGTTTTTGAGAACATCTAGGCCTGTGATGGCAAACCTATGGCAGGTGTGCCAGAAGTGGCATGAAGAGCCATCTCTTCGGGCACACCAACCATTGCCTGTTGCTCTTTCTAGTTCCGGCATGCACCTTGCACTGGCCAGCTGGTCTTCATGTGTGTGGGAGCACAGAAACTGGAAGAGCAGCTCCCCGGCGTCCATGTGCATGCTGGGAAACTGAGTTTCCGGTTTCTGGTGCGCGTATGCCACCTGGTCTTCTAGCACGCATGCACGCCAGAAACCAGAAGACCAGGTGGCCAATGCACATGCATGTGTCAGGGAGCGGCTCTTCCAGTTTTCAGTGCTCCCCCACCCGCACGCACTCCTGTTTCGGAACTCGGTGCCGAAAAAATTTGCCAACACTGATCTAGGCCTTCCCAATCTGAGATGCGCTTTCGGTCAAGAATGTCTTCATTCATAATCACCTACTAGTCACCATTTTGCATCAAATGGTTATCAGGAGCCCCGCAGAGGTGGCATTCAGCAGGTTCTGACCAGTTCTGGAGAACCGGTAGCGGAAATTTTGAGTAGTTCGGAGAACCGGCAAATGCCACCTCTGACTGGCCCCAACCCCATCTCTTCTCTGCCTCCCAAGTCCCAGCTGATTGGCTGGGTCTTCTTTGGTTGCCCTGCACAGGAGAACGGAGCTGGAAAGCAGGTTAGTGGAGTGGGGTGGGGTGGGAATGGGGATTTTGCAGTAACTTTCCCCCAGGAGTGGGGAGGGAATGGAGATTTTACAGTATCCTTCCCCTGCCATGCCCCCCAAGACACGCCCACCAAGCCACGCCCACAGAACTGGTAGTAACAAATTTTGAATCCCACCACTGCAGCTTCCCCCCAAAAAAGACACCACAGATTTGAACACTTGAGTAAAGACCCTTAATTAAGATCCATGCTCACTTCAACCCACAATATTTTGGCACGTAAATGTATGACCAATGCGGGAAACTATGCTCAAACTAATCTGGTTTGGAAAACCAACATGGCAACATGAAAATGTCACTTTTAGCATTCTCTGCCAGCATCCTTAACTTGGTGATCTGTAATGCATTGGAAGCTACAGTCTGGTGGAGATCCCATGAGGAATGGCTGCTTAAGGACTTCTGTAATCCATATTTCTGCTTATGTGTCCCAACAGAGCTTACATTATCATGTTTAATTTTCTACGGCAATACTAACAGCCTACTTATTTTTCTGAGTGCCAGTTCTTAGATACTTAAGGGATACCATCTATATCGAAAGGGAGGGAATTAGAGGGCTTTGGTGAAGACCATTTTTAAGAGAAGCACAATGAAGAGAAAAGAAAGAAAGAAAGAAAAATGAAAGGAAGGAGAATGCCATAAAAACAACCCAATGAAGCTTAAGCATTCACAACGAGTGTGCAATTGTAAGAAGCAGAAAAGGGACAGAAATCACGTACTGCAGAGAAGGGAAATGAACGGAGAATTCTAGAAAAGTGTCCAGCTGGTTGCATTCCTAAAGAAGGAAGTAGTGTTTGGTGATATGCACAAAGGAAGAAGAGACAAAACACCAGAATTTGGCCAAAAAGCTATTTTTAGAATAAAATGCCTGGGGAGAAAAATAACTTGGATGCTCGCATCCAGCCAAAAGATTGTCAAGTAGAATATGAGATCTAGTGAGTAAAGTTACACTAAAATTTAACCTAAGCCAGGAAAAACTGTATAAGAAAAGAAAATACAGGCATTGTGATATTGGTTAATACTTAAGAGAAAGACTAGCTGCCTCACTAAAATAATGTGTGTGTGTGTATGTGCGTGCGCGCACACTCACATCTATATGTTTGTGTGTCCGCATGTAACAACAGTGTTCCAACCATGGAGGCCCCTGTTAAGAACTTCATTTCTGAATTTCTTTCTTTTCTTTTTTTAATGATAGGTTTCCTTCCTTTCCCGACTCCTGCAATCCCCTCTCCTCTTTTTCCTTCTTGTAAACAAATATATTCTGGCTAAACAGTTCAAAGAAAAAAGACAGATGAAGTTGTGTTTAGATCGCCAAGAACATGAGAGTAAACTGGCAGCCTGCGATTTAGAAGAAAAATGTTAAACCTCGGCAAAAGTTGCCTCTTTCGAAAGAAAAAATGCAAACCCAGAACACAGCTTCTGTCCAAAAGGGAATCACAGTCGCATTACGTAGTCACATAGATATAATGAAGCATTTTTAGAAATTAGCAAACGAAGGAGGATATGTTGCATGTTTTGCACAGTTCACCGAAATAAATATCACAAGGCTGTGAAGGATTCCTGTTCTCTTGTCATTTTTAAATGGCTAAAAAAAAAATTCTCTGTTTCAAACAGTTTGTAACCTCAAGCTTCACCTGGACAATTATTTAGAAATGGTCAAACTCACACTAGAATTGCAGGATAGAGAAGACATGGGATACTATACGGTCTGGGGGAAAACAGTACAATTGGTTAAACCGTAGGAATAAAAAAAATAATGTAAATATGTATATATTGATTTAGTTGGAATAGTTGCTGTCACGCCACTGCGAAGAGTGTATATGTGTTTGTTTTTATACGTGTTGTTGTTATACGTGTTGTTTTTTAAACGTGAAAAAGTTTAATAAGTATTATTTTTTTTAAAAAGAAAAGAAAAAAGAAACGTGACCTGCATCCATTGATCTCTATACTAAGATTTCCTTTCCTTTTTAAACGTATCACATTATATGAGTCTCCCCCCAGAGTCAGTTGGATGTTGAGCATGTAAAGCTACAAATGGCTGTGAGACCTTCTGTTTCTTAATACTAACCATCAAAGCATGGAAGGAAAAAACAACAACAAAGCAGAAGAAATCTTCCTCCAAACCCCCCCCCCCCCAATCAATCAATCAAGATGATTTCACCCTTATAATAAAAAGAGGATTCCAATGAAACCACGGCAGGCAAGGGCTTCCTGGAAGTAGCGCCTGAAAATTGAAAGAGAGACTTTTTCTTACCGCAAATTTCTTGATGTAGTCGGAGACGCAAGATCCCCCCATGCTCAAACCAAGGGACTTATGCAGTGAAGAACTCTGATAAAGGGTGCCCATTTTTCTTTCTTTTTCTTTCCTTTTCTTTTTTTGCTATCCCCTCGCACTTGTTGGGCAAACCACCAAGGACGGCCCACAGCTTTTGACCCAATTGAGGAGGAATGGAAGCCTGGCTCAATCTTGGCTGGAATTATCTGTCGCCCGAACGCTGAACCAGGCATTTCAACCACTTTCTTATCTTGAAGGGCCGAGCTGTTATCTGTTATTCCTGCAGCTCACTTCCTGAATGGCTGATAGGGGCCATGGCACAGAGCATTGGCGCTGACGGGACTAATGAAATCTGTGCAGAGGCCCCCCCATTCTACTGCACGGACGCCCTTTGGTAACCTGTGTACACCAGAGGCAATCCCCAGGCGTGTTACTTGCAGGATAAGAGGATTATCCTGTCTAAATTAAATTAAAGGGTTTTGGCAATGCGTCGGGTGCAATTCTCAAAAATTACTTCAAAAGTAGGTAGGGGCATGAACAAAGCCTACCCTTAGGCAAGAAAAACCAAAAGGACACATGTAGACTGGGTGAAACCAGGCTCAATAGCAGGAACTGGGAGAGGGATCTTGGCGTCTTCGTGGACAACCAGCTAAATAGGAGCCAGCAGTGTGCAGCGGCAGCCAAAAAAAGCTAATGCAATCCTAGGTTGCATTAACAGAGGGATACAATCGAGATCAAGTGAATGGATGGAAACCAGTCAAGGAGAGAAGCAAACCTGAAACTAAAGAGAAACTTCCCAACAGTGAGGACAATTAACCAGTGGAACAGCTTGCCACCAGATGTTGCAGGTACTTTGTCACTGGCGATTTTTAAAAAGAGACTGGACAGCCAATTTGTCTGAAATGGTATAGGGTCTCCTGCTTGAGCAGGGGGTTGGACTAGAAGATCTCAAAGGTCCCTTCCAGCTCTATTCTGATTGAACATGGATGCAAGTCCGTAATAGGTTCCAAGGGACATGCACAGCCCAGAGCCGAGATGGTGAGCTAGAGAGTCATAGCTACATGCAAAGGTTGCAAGAGGAAGAGAGAGGGAGGGAAAGAGGAAGGAAGGAAGGAAGGAAGGAAGGAAGGAAGGAAGGAAGGAAGGAAGGAAGGAAGGAAGGAAGGAAGGAAGGAAGGAAGGAAGGAAGGAAGGAAGGAAGGAAAGGAGGCAGAGAGAGGACAATCTTGCATGACAGCAAAGGTCCCCATTAGGAAATCTGGCAGCTGGTTTGGAACAAACAAGCTCCAACCTGCCTCCCTTAATTAGCAGCTCTAAATACAGACGGGTGGTGTAAAAGGACACCCTTGCTACCACAGTGGTTAACATAATACATGAAGATAACTGCATTATCAGTCAGATTTCCTCTGCCTTTGGGTTTCTTCTTTTAAATGCAAGCAGTTTTTTCTTTTTTTCTCTGAGGTTCTGCCAGAGGGTAGACAGGAAGAAGATCATCATGCAGATAGATAGATAGATAGATAGATAGATAGATAGATAGATAGATAGATAGATAGATAGATAGATAGATAGATAAAGACAGACAGACAGACAGACAGACAGACAGACAGACAGACAGACATATGATAGATGACAAAAGGAGATATTAAATGAGAGGTTAGATAGATAAAGATGATATAGATGATAGGTAAACAGACAGACAGACAGACAGACAGACAGATAGATGACAAAAGAAGATATTAAATGAGAGGTAGATAAAGATGATAGATAGATAGATAGATAGATAGATAGATAGATAGATAGATAGATAGATATCATAGTAGACATACGGACAGATATGATAGAGATAGACAGACAGACAGACAGATAGATGATAGATAGAAAGAAAGAAAGAAAGAAAGAAAGAAAGAAAGAAAGAAAGAAAGA